AAACTTGAACTTGTCCTGTGGGAAGCTCCTATAAGGAACTCCCTCCTAAAATAAACGTATGCCACTAAATGCAGCGAGCACACGGTATTCTTTAGTAAAAGGCGAAAGAATAGTTCGCTCTGTGCTCACTGCATGGCTGCGTGATGATTTTAATTGCAGGCTTTGTTATTTATGTAGTAAGTCTTTCTTTATATTCTTTCTTGACTGATGTGGGACTTTTGTGTCTTACCTTAATATTTATGTGAAATTTTGGCTGCAGAGTATGAAAAGCGTAATATTCTCACACGTCTTTGTTTGCTGTTTTAAGGGGAGATGACTCTACACAGTGTCTGTCATTTGATGGATGTTGCCTCCTACAAATATCGACCTTTTTTTTTTCTTGAAAGAAGGTATGTATTACATCTGTTCATTTTTGTTGGTTACACCTTTTTTTGTGTGTTGACTGTTGAGTATACTTTTTACTTTATCCTACATTAGCAAACCTTTGTACACAAGCCCCACTTACAATACTAGGCAACTAGGTCTCTATAGTTAGTTAAGTGTAAAGACCAATTTGGAAAAACAATTGTTTGAACTTTTTTCTTTTTTTTTTTGAACAATTGTTTGAACTTCTTGGTAGTAAATTTGAGTGTTTTTGTAAATTGTCAAACAACCATCACCAGAAGCACATATTGGCCGCCTTGGCTGGTGTGCAAATGGCTTTTTAATTTGCCGACCCCTATAGCTAAGACCTCCCAAACGTTTCTTCCTTTTATGATGGTTCTTGTTTTAATTACCTATTCTAGGAACTTTAGATAATTATTTTTGTCGTGAAATAGAACGTTGTTTCACCATTACGTAATGAAAATTAAAACAAACTTATTTGATTTAATGTAGACTTTAATATAATTAAGACAATGTTATAAAATAATTAAGGAATAACTGAAAATATTGGAGAAAGATATAAATGGTGACGTGTTGTTACTTGTACCAATATTTCATTAGATCATGCCATATATATACATGAGAATAATGTAACCTACAAGGACAATGAGGAGTCTATAATTTGGGGGTTACAAAGTGAAGTAAAGGCATATCCCTTGCGCCCTGGGAAAAGGTTGGTGCCCGGAAAAAGACAAGCGTGTAAACGCGTTGATCCGGGGGTATAAAAGGTCCAACTCGCTGTAACCAGAGGAATTGAAAAATTCGCTCTCGGTTACCGGACTGAAGCCGTAAAACCTAGCTCAAAACACCAAAGCCCCAAAAGGGCCCTTCCGAGCCTTAGCCATTTAGGAAAGGGCTCGTTCCGGGGAGATACTACGGATGAAGAAGGGGAGACCTTACTTTCACACGCATGAAAGCGAACGACGCGACGGGGGTAACCAAATATAGCAGCTGCCAGTCCCTTATTTTCCTTAAAAAACTGGAAAAAGGGACAGTTCGAAACAAGTTTCTCACGCGACAAGGCAACTGAGAAAACCGAATTCGCCCCAACCTCGAATTCGGATTTTCGAAGGACGCGACCCCCAACCCACGGGGGAGCACAGACACAGCGGAGGAGCGAAGCTACGACTTGTGAGTGAGAAACTTGTTTCGAACGACGGCTGCTATACCCTTAGAGCAGAGTGAAGCAGAAATGCCCTCGCCCGGGAGGCTGCGGTCAAGACAAAGAATAGTACGCACGTACATTCACAGTTTTTGAAGCTATAAATTCAAGGAATTCAAAGAAACTTTTAACAAAACCTTGAATTTAAAGAAACCTTCCTTATCGAAGGAGGCAGGAAAGGAACGCTCTCATCCCATTTCCTACCAGAAATGGTTAGGGCGGATAGCAACATTAACCACATTAGCTACATTAAGAAGGAACGCGACCCCCCAACCCCACGGGGGATAAGTTTACAAAAAATCTATTTAGTAGACTTCATTTCAAAAAGACAGAAGATTCAAGTCTTTTTGAAATCATCGTAAGTGACCATTGAACCATTTCGAGGCTGCCTAATAAGCAGGAACATTCACAACAACAGGTCATAGACTTATAAGTGTGAATGAATGATTCGGAATGACAAGACGACAATGGTTGTGTAGCCGATGCTTTACCGGCCCTTTTAGAACCAACTCACGAATCAACTAAAAGCCCCTCCGAGAACCGCTACCTATTGCAAAGCGCGGGCTTTAGCTTAGGGATTGAGGTAATTCGAAGGCTACACGTGAAAGGATTCTTTAGATGTATGTTGCCTCCTTGGACATCTATAAAGAGATTAATAAAATAGAGATTAATAAAAGGTCCGGATATAAAGAGATTAATAAAATAGAGGGAGTTACAAGTCATATTGACATCTATAATAATTATATTTTGCAGCACTCCCCCTTGATGTTCATTTTATAAAATAGATTTATAGCACATATATGATGCCTCATTAAAAACCAGGGAAAAAAACCATGTATAGGAGAAAAAGAGTGCAGTGCGCAACTACTCCCCCTCATGATTATACCACCAGATTATACCACCGAAGATCTCTAAAATGACGCAATCCAATACGATAAACTAACTTTTTAAATGTTGCAATTTGAAGTTGCATTTCTTGACTTAGGATTGCATAAATAGAACTTATTTCTGATAATTTTTAATTTTTTTCCTGCCTGGCTAAAGAAGTCAATCAATCCTTGCTTCCATTCACCAATTAAACTATGATGCATTATTTGTTGAGATTAGTAATGCGTTACAAACTTACAAAGGATTTCAAGCTACCAGTCTGTAACTGTGGTGCACGCTGTTCTGAATTTGATATTTACCAATGGCAGGGTATATTGAAGTTTCAGTCAATCCATATTTGCTTCAAACAGTTCAAACAAGGACAAATAATGGTGAGTCTTTCATTGCAGGCTGTTTAGAATTACAGGTGATGCTTTATTCCTGACATGTGAATTTCCTTGTTGAATTTTTCCTCTGAATCAATCAATTTTTTGTATTTTGTTTTCATGGCTCTACATTTGTAAGCAAAAAATATTAGAAACTCCTGGCTTTCATGTCTATAATTCTAGGAATTATACAGCCTCCAAAATTGCTTTTTTTTTTTTTTTTTTTTCTAGCCTGTGACAAATCATGAAAAAAATTGAAATGCTGCATGGATTATTAAGAAATAGGCAGCTTTCCATTGAGGTTTTTGTAAAACTATTTGTCCCACATCGAAAAATTGATACGAAACTGATATGTTTATAATGCATAACTAGAAGCAATTAAAGGATAAAACGAACAAATTGAGAAATGGTCTCTTTTATATTTTCAATATATATATGTAAATTCTGCCACAACAAGAGAATGCTTAAAATCCATCGGTAGGCAAAACTTCTTACCCTAAACCAAAGTAGAAATGATGGATGAGAAATGAAGAAAGAAGAAGATGATGGAGGAGAGATGGATGAATCAGATTTTTTGGGGAAAAGTTTAGATTATTACATTAGATTAGAGTGGTAATAATTTGTAATTATGTGTAGTATTAGGGGTTAATAATTTTAAAATGAGGGTATTTTGATCATTTTACTATAAAAAAGTTACTACATTAGGAAAGAAATAAATTTGTTGCAAATAATATGTACCACCTTTTTTAGTAAATGTGCAAATAATTGTTAACGGAGGTAGTATTTAAATAGAATTATGGCGTTAATTATATTGAAATATAATGTCTTTTTGTTTCCCTCTCCAATCTACTTGGATGATTTTTTTTTTATTTTTTTTTTTTTGGACTGAGACTCCCATACTCTCATTTAAAAGTTGTTATAGACTTATAGCCTATAGGTGAGCTCAGCTTTTTAATTTAGTAACTCACTAACTGATGCTAAGATAGTTAACTACTCTCTGAAACTTGTCCTACTAATGCATAACATGACAGCTCTGTATTGAGAAAATTGTACCTTAATAGTTGTACGGGATATACCGATAGCTTCTATAATATGCCGGTAAAAAAGTGTCGTGCAGTTTAAAGCCCTCGTTAATCATGGAATAATTCATGTCCTTACCGGCATAAGTCTCCACCACGTGGAGAGCTGCTTCTCGGAACGTGGCATATCCTTCTGACACGTGGAGAGTTGCTTGGTGCCGCGTAGGCACCTGCTATTTACAAGGTCGGTATGCCACCTATCTGTATAGGTGGCACCTGCCTGGTTGTGTTCCTATAAATACCCAAGCAAATCCTCATTTCAAAGGTAGAATCTCTCTCTCTCTAAAACACTTTCTCTCTCTTCTTTCACTTTCTTCACACAAAGGTACTGACTTTAGCATCGCAGTGGTTATTCCCGGATAACCCCCGGGCTAGCTAATCTGTATTGGCTGTGTAGGTGAGCAATTGGACGGTAAACCATTACCAGCCCTCAGACATTAACGGAAGCAGAATCCAGCATGAACAATTGGCGCTAGAAGGAGGGGCAGTAATAACTTCTATCGTCCAACAGGACCTCTCACAGTCATGGAAGGAAGTAAGGAAACTACAGCACCAGAGGTTGATAACCGGCAATATGATAACAGTGTCCTTAATGCTGACAAGAATAAAACCGTACTACAAGAAATCGTGGTCGAGGATGAAACTCATCTCCTTCACGGTAACACAACGAACATGCCTATAACGCCTGACCGTAACAGAGCATTAACCCCAGATCCCTTGGAAGGGTTTACCCCGGAGGAGCTAGAGATAACGGCCAAGGTCATGCGGGCTATGTCTAAGAAAAGAAAGGAAGCCGAGTTAGCGGCAGGGGAAATACGGGGTGACGGATCTGCAAAGCCGCTGATAGTGAACCTGGAGAGTCAGTTCAATCAGGCGGGACAGCAACAACCGTCAAGAAGCCGGGGCCGAGAGACCATACCGGCCGAGCGCCAACTCACGCAAGGCGCCCAGGTGGGGGATTCAGGTTCTTATCGGCATGAGGTTTTCAGTGGCTTGGAAAGGCGGGTAGCCAGGGCGATCATCAGACCCAGAATATCTCCGTTCACGCAATAGGTACTTGACCAGCAAATGGAGAAAATAAAGATGCCGTCCTGTACATATGACGGTAAAGGGGATCCAAAGCGGTATGTAGCTGCTTTTGAGAGTCACATGTTGCTATATACCGACACCAATGCTGTGTGGTGTAAAGTTTTCCCTACGACTCTTACCGGCGCAGCTTCGGATTGGTTCTCCAATTTAGAGCCGGGATCAATTGACTGCTTTGAGACCCTGGTGGAGTTGTTCACAGGTCAGTACATAAGTAACAGTGCGAGACAAAGGACATCTGGCGAGCTCATGGCAATTTAGCAACGAAAGGAGGAGTCGCTCAGAGATTTTATTAGACGCTTCAATAATGAAGCTAACACTATACCAAAATTGCAGCAAGAAATTGTCGTGATGGCATTGATGAATGGGCTGGGTGACAACGACTTCAAAAAATATATGTCGCGGAAGTCTTTCCCAAACTTAGGGGTAGCATTTGCCAAGGCTCACGAATACATAAAAAGTGAGGAACTGCTGAGAACGAGCCGTCAAATATCGTCAGCAGAGCCCTCCAGAAGGCAAAGTGATAATAGCCCAAATTCCCAGATAGGTGGGGTAAGCAGGGCATTGCCTCAAGGCCAGCAGAGATCTGGAAGACCGACAAGGGGATTGGGCCGTTATAGTAGTTATACGCAGTTAAACACCCCGAGAGCGGCAATATATTCAATAAACCAGAATAGAGAAGATTGGAGTCGGCCGACACCGATGATAACGAAGGGCCGGGACGTGAGGAAATATTGCATGTTTCATAGAGATATTGGTCATTACACCGAAGAATGTGTCCAGTTAAAAGAGAACATTGAAGATCTCATAAGGAAGGGGCGGTTATCCCAGTATCGTACCCAAGCAGCTCCCAGCCGACAGCAAAATTCACAGCCTAGGCAAACCGAGTACCGAAAGCAGGGAGATTCATCGATGCAAGATGATACTTATATGCAGAATCATGCGGAAACATCCAGACAGGGAGGTAATCCGACAGGGCGCAAAATAACGATCGATGTTATTACGGGAGGACCAGTATATGGGGGTTCTATGAGCGGGGCGAAGAAGAGCTATCGGAATACCGGCACCTAGTGAACGCTTTGAGCATAGAGGAACGACCTCGACCTTCTTCCATGCTTTCGATATCTTTTTCGGAGGAGGATGCTAAGGGAATAATTTACCCTCATGATGATCCGTTAGTGCTGATATTGACGGTAAATGGAGCAGCTATCAAGCGGGCACTCGTTGACGGTGGAAGTTCCGCAAATATCCTGTTTTCTAAGGCTTTTGATGCCATGAGGATTGGCCGAAAATACTTGATGCCAGTGTCTTATCCCGTGATAGGTTTCAACGGATGAACGGTGCGACCTGAAGGTAGTATAGTTCTTCAGGTTCGAATGGGAGAGGGTCCGACAGTAAGGGACGTTATGGCGGAGTTTTTGGTGATTGATGTGTCATCCGCTTACAACGCCATTGTCGGTAGGCCTCTAATTCATGACATGCAAGCTGTGGTCTCAACGTACCACTTAACAATGGTGTATGTATCCAACGCGGGAACGACAGAGCGCGTACGGGGTAGTCAAACTATGGCAAGAGAGTGTTATGTTTCAGCACTGAAGCAGCCATGCCGACAACAAACTTGTGAACAGACACCAGCCAAGCGAGAACGAATTCCCTATACACATGACTTGGCTATGGAAAATTTTGATACTCGGCCGGTAACTGTGCCACGTCCTTCCCTAGGAGGCGAAACTGTAGAGATCGAATTGCAGCCTGGAGTTCCCGGTAGGGTAGTGCGTGTCGGATCCGATATGGATGTCGACACGCGCTGCCATTTGGTAGAATTGTTGCGAGAAAGTGTTGACGTGTTCTCTTTCTCGGCAGACGAGATGCCAGGGATACATCCCGACGTCATAGTACATAAGCTAAATGTCGACAGGAGAGCAAGACCTGTTCGGAAGAAGAAAAGGAACCTCTCAAAAGAGAAAAATGAGGCTATTCGGTCAGAGGTGAATAAATTGCTAGCGGCAGGGTTTATCGAACCTTGCACATACCCCAAATGGTTAGCGAATGTGGTTATGGTAAGGAAGCCGTCAGGGAAATGGAGAATGTGCGTGGACTTTACGGACTTAAACAGAGCCTGCCCGAAAGATTTCTATCCCTTGCCGAGGATAGATAGATTGGTAGATTCAACTTCCGGTCATGCGCTATTGAGCTTCATGGACGCTTTCTCCGGGTATCATCAGGTCAGCTTATTTGAGCCGGATCAAACCAAGGCGGCATTCATTACCGACTCCGGAGTTTTCTGTTACAGGGATATGCCGTTTGGATTGAGAAATGCAGGGGCTACATACAAGAAGCTGGTCGACAAGGTGTTTGCGAACCAAAAAGGAAGAAATGTAGAAGTGTATGTGGATGATTCAATTGTGAAAAGTCGTTTGGCTACAGACCACGTCGCCGATTTGAGAGAAACTTTCGAGACTCTTCGACGTTACCGGATGAAGTTAAACCCAGAGAAGTGTGTGTTCGGCGTTCGTTCAGGAAAGTTTCTCGGGTTCATGGTGAGCGAAAGGGGGATAGACGCCAACCCCGATAAGATTGAGGCGATTCTTAGTTTACCAGAACCAAAGTTCATAAAAGATATACAAAGGCTCACTGGTCGAATGGCCGCGTTAACGAGATTCATCAGCAAGGCAGCTGATAAGGCCTTACCGTTCTTTGTGATCTTGCGTTAGAACAAGCTGTTTGAATGGGGGAAGGACCAATCCAAGGCATTACAGGCTGTGAAAAATCACTTGAGGTCCTTACCCACCGTTGCAAGGCCGGAACAAGGAGAAATATTACAGTTTTATATCTTCGCGTCAGCAAAGACGGTAGCGGCGGTGCTCCTGGTAGAGCGGCAAAAAACACAACTGCCAATTTACTTCGTGAGCCACGTGTTAAATGCTGCCGAGAGAAGGTACCCGTTAGTAGAAAAGATCGCGTACGCAGTAGTTGTGGCCGCATGAAAGTTGCGCCCTTACTTTGATGCACATGCAATTCATATCTTAACGAATCAGCCGTTAGAGAAATCTTTGCAGAAGATGGAAACGTCTGGCCGACTGCTTAAATGGGCTATTGAACTGTCTGAATATATTATTACGTATAAACCAAGAGTATCAATCAAAGCCCAGGCCTTGTCTGACTTTATTGTAGAGACGTCCTATTATGAAGAAGAGGATGTTATTGGCACATGGAAGGTATCAGTTGACGGCTCGTCTGCTTCAACCGGCTCAGGAGCCGAAGTAATTATGATCTCTCCCCAGGGAGATGTGTTCGAGTATGCTGTTAAGTTCAAGTTCAAAGCCTCGAATAATGAGGCAGAATATGAAGCAGCGCTGGCAGGAATACAGTTATGCATATCTGCGGAAGCGAGGCGTATTGAGATGACAACTGACTCGCAATTAGTAGCAAATCAGTTCAATGGCACTTACGAAACTCGAGAGCCGAGCATGACGACATATTTGGCAAAACTCAAGAGTGTTACGTCTGGTCTGGAATATTTCGAAATCAGGTTGGTTCCTCGAGCAATGAACACACAGGCAGACGCATTGACTAAGCTCGCAAGTTCAAGCTTCAATGACCTAGAGAGGACGGTAATGGTAGAGATTTTGAGGGAAAGAAGTATTGATGAACAACCTCCTAAGGATGTGAACTGTACATCTGCGGGACAGGAATGGTATGATGATATCTTGGCTTACAAGGTACATAATGTCCTTCCTGCCGACAAGACGGAGGCAAGAAAGGTCCAGAAAGACAGTGTTTGGTTTATCATGTTCCGAGGCTTGTTGTATAAGCGGGGGTTTTCGTTACCGCTGCGAAGGTGTATAACGGCTTATGAGTCGGCAAGACTGAAGAAATAACGGCTCCAGGTCGACGACTCCTTCCGGCCAAGTCTCCTGTGCCTCCTGATGGAGAGGGACCGTATCGCCGTCGTGCTTTTTTTGTTTCTTCTGTGGCTCTCGGTCGGAGGGCTCAGAAGTCCTCTTAGATGCATTCCCACCACCCCTTTTCACATCTAGGGTGTGGGGTTTGGTAATGCGTTCGGTAGGAGCCATATCTTGTTGTCTTATTCTTTTTCTTTTCGACGCTCTGGTAGCGAAAGTAGGCAGGGTGTCGTATGACTTCTTTGGCCGGTTCGGGCACTGTTGCTTCACTCTACCGTCAGGATGCAACCCTAGTCGGCTGAAGTCAAGTTTGTCTATGCCTGGCAGAAGAAAAACCGACAATAAACGTTAATAAACCGATATCGTAAAGGTAAACTTGCACGTAAAAACAAGTGTAAATAAAATACACGCAGGCAGGTACGAGAATAAGCAGGCAAAACACTTTTGTAAATTAATTCCAAATCCCGTGTACAGTAAAGATAAATATAAGCAAATGTATATAATTTATAAATATTTCCATACCAAAAGCATCGGTATGGCAGAGACCGACATGAGAAAGAGGGGCGTTGCCCAGTATATAATTACAATGGGGCAACCACACCCCCGGAACAACTTTATTCTTCTTACCGGCACTAACATATGTACAATTAAACCACTTAAAAGCTTTTTTCTCCATCGTTCCTAACGCTCTCGACCGTATGGTCTCGAACATGCTGTGTGGGTGATGAAATGTCCTACGGACGGTAAAATCGTCAGGCACAGTCATAAAATAAAATTCATTCTTCCAGTTCTTGCAACTGGTCAATTTTGGCCACACTGTGCATTTACTAGGAGCGGTAAAAAAGGACCACCATCCGGGTGACTGGCTATCTCTCTTTATCTAGTGTAACCTTTGAAATAAGTTCAGGGTAAGGGGAAAGTCCATAAATATCATAACCCAGACAAGAGACACTATGTTCCGGATGGTTGGAGGCGTTAACTGTGCAATTGAAACGTTCCAAGCCCTGAATATTTTTTCGATATAATGATGGAGTGGAAACCGTAAACCAAATTCCAAATGTTTTGCATATACGACAATGTGGCCGGTAGGGCAATCCAAAGCCGTTTGACCTTCGCTTGGTAGTCTCAGTTCATAGCCGTCAGGAAGACGGTAGAAGCGTTTGCCATGTTGGCAATAGTCTTTCTCGGTGGCTGTCCGCAACCATACCGGATCCACAACTGACTCAGTTATCTCATAGCTGCTGGGAATTTCTTGGGGTTCTAGATACTTAGGATCATCTTGATCTGAGTCGTATCCCTCGTCAAGTCGCTCCTCTTCTGCAATCTGAGCAGCAAGATTGAAGTCGGCCCGAACATCTTCGTCGGTCTCATCTTCTTCATCATCATCTTCTCCCTCCCCAAACCTTTCTGATTGCTCTTCATCTTCCTCATCACCAATGCTTTCACCCCTACTTCCTTGTCGTTCCAGACTTTCCTCTACTGATAGGATATCTTCTTCTCTGATATCCGAAGCTCCACGCTTAGGATCATCATCTTCTCCCCCACCAGAGCGTCTACTGCTCTCACCAACCTCAGGTTGGTAACTGGTGTGTTTTGTTCTCGGCATCCTGTCAATATTAGTGCCGTATTGATTAAATAAATCCATATTTTACCTTAAATGATAACGAACACTAATAGGCTCAACATCGGCAATCTCTATATCCTCTGGAATATCGGGGTTGGTAGGATGCAAAGCCTTCTCGGCGTCAGCCAGAAACTTATGACGGTAATAAGCTTCACTTTCTTCTACAGAAGTTAAGGGTGTACAGAGTTCAGCCTCATTGGCTTTACCCATATTTGCATGCATTCCAGAACCAGACATTCACAAATAATGAAATAAACGCAAAATCTACTTAACCACAAACCAGCGAGAAATCGAAAAGAAAGTTAGGGTTTTTTACCTCTTTTTGAACTCAACTCTTGAAAGCGTAACTCAGGAATTAAGTGTCCTCCGTTTACAAACACCGGTCACAACACAACTGAACAAACCTTTGACAAATCAACCCCTGAATCGCAGAAATATGTGCGTATTACGAGCGAAATGAATTAGAAATTTTTCGAAATTTTTTCGCAAAGGAAATGAAGGGTCAAAAGTACGAAATTCACTATTTATACTGTCCAAATGAA